ACAGCCTCCCCTATTCCTGTGAGGGCCAGCAGATGGCACTGCTGGTCATCCTGCAGCCTCCCCTATTCCTGTGAGGGCCAGCAGATGGCACTGTTGGTCATCCTGCAGCCTCCCCTATTCCTGTGAGGGCCAGTAGATGGCACTGCTGGTCCTCCTACAGCCTCCCCTATTCCTGTGAGGGCCAGCAGATGGCACTGCTGGTCATCCTGCAGCCTCCCCTATTCCTGTGAGGGCCAGCAGATGGCACTGCTGGTCATCCTGCAGCCTCCTTCCCTACCTGTCCTGCAGTATTAAAAGTCCATGCGTATCCCTCGTTACCCCCTTTGTTAGTCGTGTGTATAAATGCTTCCCCAGTCCGGTCATTGCTCCCTGCTAGTGTTAGCTGGCCACCTGTGCTTTCTTGCCTGTGCCCCTAATAAAGTTCCTCAATAGGGGTTAATTGAGAAGAGCTGGGTCCCGTCTTGCTTCATCCACCGACATAACACAGATATGTACTACAATAATTGTGACAAAATGCATACACTCATATAGATTATGTATAAATATGTAAACAAAGACGTATATTTAACCTAATGATCCCAAAGCAGTCTAGTACTCCCACAAGGCAAATAACTTGTTTTTTGGTAGATGGCACATTTGCAGTGCCTTTTTGGGTCTAGAACATATTTTTAATTTTCCAGTTATATGAATATCACCTGCTTCAAATGACAAGAACATTATAACCAGTATGAACCATCAGAACGGTTTGCTGTATATGCAGACAAATCGACACACCTGAGACTGCAAAATAAAAGCAGGCATTACAACTGGGTCCAGACTGAAAGCAGTGCAAAATGCAGTGAGATTTATTAAAACAGCTGAAATTATTTTCATAGTTTGGAGTTAAAATACCTTCAGAAGACCAGCGAGGAAAGTTGTGCAGGTTCACAGTGTTTGTACAAACAGGGGTACATAGCAAGAAGGAACACGTGGTATAGACACATGTGCATTAGTGGTGTAAGTATCATAATGAAGTTTCACAGAGAATACGGTAACGATCACAGCCAATCAGCAGCCACATCCAGTGCCTGTAGACTTGTTTAACTAATCTTGAAGCCCTTGATTCTTACATCCCCCAGTACTTGGATAAACATGAACTTGTTAGCACCAAAACGATTGGGGAATGACACAGTGTTGCCAGGCATCTTGATTTGAAATGTACTTTTGTTGAAACTGACGTATACCTGGAAGAAAAAGGGATGGAAATGAACAATGATGACGACAGAGAAAAAGATTGCTGAAGGAAGTCACTCAGCTGCTGATTCACCAACTAACTTCTCTAATGCCTAAAAGGGCAGCATGTGGTTCAGTGACAAACTATGGTCTTGATACTCAAAGGCTGTAGGTTTAAGCCCCATTGAAATTCCCAAAGTACTCAATCTGAATTATTGCAGAAAAGCAAATTATTTGAAACAAACCTGCTAAGAAACCAAATACACACATACCACAGTATTTGAGCGCCTGGTGTTTCAATTAACGTATAGATTAAGGCTCATATATTGTAACCAACTGGAGAACTTAGGGCACAAGGAACACCATCCAAATGCAGCTGAAGAAAATCAGAGAAGTTTTCTAAATGTGAGTGATTACAAGTGTGACTCTAGGTGGCAGCACTGCGCAGAATCTCGGTTTTCAGGTTCAACTGTGGGTTCAAGTGCAGTTCCCAATACGTGATTTTTGTTACACCAAATGATCATAACCACCGACTGATGTGTCTTCTACTTACAAAACCCATTCATCTCTGCTCCTTCGTAAGTAGCAACAGTATGCACAGTTTGTTGTTAGATGGACTAATTATAATTTTCCCCATAAGAAATACTGGAAATACTTTGGCAAATAGATTGATGTCAACAAAAGCCAGCTACAATAGGCTATTCTGTTATCCATTTGTTTTTGCCTGTTTTTGTAATTTAATATTATTATACTTTGTAAAGAACCACAGAATAAAGCCAGCTATTCATCCCAATGTATAAAGATTAAAGAGACAAAAAACACAATGGATTCTTTTCACTCCTATGACAACATGAATCTGCAAGAAATTAATGAGTTAATCTCATTCTTAAGTGGACTCATACATAACAGTTCTACACAGGAGTGAGTTGCATTAAGCTAAGTTATTATCATTAAGGTTCCTTGTGATATTGCACGTCTTCATCTTTATTTTACTGCTGTTTGTCAGGACTGTGCACAGACTTTTTGAGGAGCAGGTGCTCAAAGGTTAAATAGGGGCACTAAGTACCTTTAAACCTCATGCACAAATTAAATAGTGTGGGCTCAGGCACCCCCAGCGCCCACCCCCACACATACATGTTATTCGTCACGTATTGCACCCCTCCCCGATCCACCCATTGCACCCGTTCGCTCCCCTGCAACTGTGGCAGAAAAATTAACTGTGTTCTTCTGAAAACATGCAACAGCAAAAACTTGAAACATGGAGGAATGGACCTTGGTGACACAAACATGCACGGTCTCACCTTAAACTCCTCCCCCTCCTTAAAGGGGAAGCTCTTCTCCCTCTGCTCACTGGACCAGGAGCCGGCATGCTTGGAGTTGAAGACGACGGTGCGACGGTCTCCGTGCTGGTTAAAGCGGACATTGAAGTGCAGGGCGATGTTTTCATCCCCTTGGCCGAGATTAATGGTGAACCTGGGGGGGGGGGGAGATTATGATAGGAAGCATGTGAGGAGGCACAATCTACAGATAGCTGGACGACCCAGTGGCAGTAGCTGAGTGACAGCTCAGTGTAGGGGAAAGGCGGAAGCCAATCATAGGCTGAACTCTCAAAGCAATAGGAGGGGTAATGACTCACCCCTCAGCATTAATCTGGGGAACACCTGTGATCTTCAGGTCCTTCCCAGCCTTCACAGACATGTTATGCACTGTCAGCTGGTAAAAAGGGAATAAGGAGTATTTTCAGGAAACCCATGTGAAAGAGGAACAACAAGCAAACCTCACACATACAAAGCAGGATTCAAACCACCAACCCCAAACACAGGGGATTGTAGTATTACCCACTGAGCCAACCCAGAGTTTACCTAGAGTGTTTAGTTGCATGTATAGTAATATTATTACAGTCCAAAGAAGCCTAAATTACAATGAACTGTGAAATTTAACATTACAACTTTTCTCATTGCATTTTATGTTCACTAGTAGGTAGCAAGGGAGCACCAGTTAATTCCTGCTCTCCTGACTGTCAGGATCAGCATCCGTCCTCCTTAACCTATCATGCCCACCCCCATTTGGCTAGCAGGTGTTGCTGGCCATCCTGTCCTCCCTGTTGTCCTTCAATCCCTTAGCGTGTTTCCTACTCCATGACTGCTGTATAGCTCTATGGGTTCAATGTCTGGTTGTAAACCCTTTGGTCATGCGTTTGAAACCAGCTTCCTCTTTATTTGTAATTATCGGATTTTGTTTCCCCAGTGTTTATTTTCTATTTCGGTTTTCTTGTTTCTAGTTTTTGGTTTGTGTTCAGTTTGGGGTTTTTCTAGGTGCCTGTGTTTGTGATTCTGTATTCCTTGTCCTTGTCCTTGATATGTTCTTCTGTGTCTTAGTTTTCCTGTTGGTCTCTGGGTTCCTTGATTAAGTTAATTTGTCCTGGGGCCCTGGCCCTGGCCCGTGCGGGAGCGGCCGTCACCCTCGCGGGGTCGGCTGCCTGTTGCCTCTGGTTCTCTGGGGCT